TAAAAAACAAACTGTATAAACAAAAGAAGGAAATTGCCGAGGTCATTATGTCCTTATAGATTTTCTCCAGCCCTGACTTTAGAAGACAGTCATCACCAACGTATACTTATTTTTTCATGGAAATATTAATATAGATGTTATTTTTTACATGTAGATATTAATGTATTTATGGGACTTACTGGAATTTGCTTCACAGCTAGGTAAATTTAGTTTTTCAAAAAGAATGAAAGGCTAATTATTAAGCAATAATGTGATCAAATTGCCAAAAGCTTCAAAGGGGTTCTATTTCAGTTCTCAGCCTGATGTGCATTTAAAAATATCTCTACTTAGAGTAGTTACTGTTCATAATGCATTGTGGAATCTTTTTAGGTAACAGCTTAGATGATAAAGAAGCCATTATCCTTGATTTGGTGTATTTAACCCAAGTCACATTTGTGACAGACTGAAAATTAGCTGTAGTGTTGTACACCTCCTTTCCTGTTCTGTGCAGCTTGATGTATGTGTGAGCCACATGTCCAGCAGGATTTATAAGAATATGTTACTAATGGATGGAAAAGCTATTTTCATAGTACCGTGTAAAAATATACCAGATAACATGTGCAGTGTATAATAACCTTGCAGTTTTGTTTTATAAGAGATTTAACCTGTGGCTAAAGGAAATATAATGAAATCTATTGGAAATCCTTTAGAAGAGGAAAATTTGGGATTCACTTCTTTAATTTCCAGGCTTTTATGCAGTTGACCAATTTAGGAGGGAGACCTCATTAGTGCTTTATTTCCAGAGCAGATGAGAGATTATAGAACTACCTCAGTTTCTGAAATACCATGGATCAAAGAATTCAGTACATATCTACCTTGCCCACCTCTCCCACTTCATTCCCATTACCTCATAATTTCTTGCAGGAAGTACCTTGTTTACCACATGTATCGCTTTTGTTGCATTTAAATTTCTTTTTTTTTTTTTTTTTTTGTGAGGAAAGTCAGCCCTGAGCTAACATCTATGCCAATCCTCCTCTTTTTGCTGAGGAAGACTGGCCCTGGGCTAACATCTGTGCCTATCTTCCTCCACTTTATGTGGGACGCTGTCACAGTGTGGCCTGACAAGCGGTTCATCAGTGCGCACCTGGGATCCGAACCCGGGCCACCAGCAGCGTAGCGTGCGCACTTAACCGCTTTGCCACAGGGCCGGCCCTGTATTTAAATTTCTTAAGCAACAGATTAGAGATGGCTTTGCAAAAGAAGAGTGAAATATAATATTCAGGATTTCTCATTTAAATGCAGTACAGGTGATAAATCATTGCTGTGCAGTAATCTTTGACCAAAGAGAGAGACTTTTTTAGTGGGCCTATGTCTCTGACTTTCACCACCAGCACTGGCCACTTTATGGGCAGTCATGTGAGAAACTATGCACAGAATGGAACTTGTGTAGGCATTTCTCTGTACAGATAGTTCTAATACGTTATGGCTACTATGGCTACATCTTTCAAAGAGACTTTTTTGCTCAGCAGCACATTTTCAGTAATACCTAAGAAACTCCAGACAGACAAGTGTTTTAAATAGCCTTAAAATGATTCCCTTCAAAAGGTATTGAGTCCAATTGTTCTGATGTGAAAGAACTTCTGAAAGACACTGGTCTGTCAGTGTTTTCTGAGTCCTCATAATATATTAGTCATAAAACAAAGCAATACCCTTTATTTCTACCCTCTAGGTATGGTTTTCCAACTGAGACTGCACTTCAGAATCACCTGTGGAGCTATGCTTACATCCACTCCTAGAAATTCTGGTTTAGTAGGTTAGAAGTGAAGTCACTGCATCTGTTTTTTAAAATTTTAGAGATGTTTCTAATAGACACACTTCCTGTTGAGTACCACTACCAGCTTACATTTGAAATTGTACCACACATATTGTATATAACATGGAGGCAAGTTTCATTCATACTTTCTGTATGGCTTTACAAGGAGGAACCTAGACGGAAATCCTAGCTATAGTCAGAATTGAATTTTGGATTTAAAAGGGAACCAATCTAAAAACCGCTTCTCTTTACAGATGACAAAGCAGAGAGGTGAAGGAATGTTCAGAGTTGGTAGTAGAACCAAATACTAGATCTAAGACTCTGACTTGAGTTCTTTCTACACTAGCATCTTGGACCTAGACCATCTTTGAGAAAAACTTCAAAGCTACTCAGTAATCTAGAAGTTGTCTTGAGCATCCCAAAGCCTGCCAGGGTATTGTGAGGTCTCAGGGTATTTCATAAAAGGAGTAATAATGCAGCCAGCAGGAACTCCTCACATCTTTGAAGTTACTAGGCAGGAGTTATGAGTGACGTAACTCATAGTTAGAAATTATAAATATCACCCAGAATGCTTTTGTGACTTCTTTGTAAACATGGAAATTTCAGACGAGACATGCCTAGATTTGGTACTAAAGATTCTTGAGAACAAGATGATCATTTGTCTCATTTAAACTGATCCTTAAGTATTGGCAGCAAGTCTAGGATGTTATGCCAATATTATATTTCTAAGCAGGCCTGACTTTTAGCTTGTACTTCAGAAAGAGGATATTGTGCCCAGATTTGCAATTTAACTAACTAAAGGAATAATATGTTTATTAATTAGGATTAGATTTGGCTGTAAAAAAAAAAAAACAACCAAAAACCAAATAACAGTAGTTCAGTCAAGGTAGAGATTGATTTTTCTTTTGAATTAAAAAAGTACAGAGGGGAGGGAAGTCCAACATTGGTGTGGTTACTTCACAGCCATCAAGGACTCAGATCCTTATCATTTTTGTTCCGTCCATTCTTGGCACTGTCTTACAGCCTCAAGGTGTCTGGTGGTTCTAGATGGCTCTGGAGCTTCAGCCAATCTTCAAAGGGGTATACCTCCAACTTGAGTCAGCTCTCTTGAAAGAGCTTTTCTAGAACCACCCCATCCAATAATTTCTACTTCCATCTCACTGGTCATTCCTATTATCAAGGGAGGATGGAAAGTTATAACTGGACAGGTTGCCTTTTGCAATAATTAGAAGTTCTATTATTAAGAAGGAAGGAGAGAATGGATGTTGAGCAGGCAACCAACAGATCTGCCACAATCTCCTCTGAAGAATATAATATTTATATTAGGGAAATGAAATTTTAGTGACATCAAAAACTATTATATAGGATATAAATTTAAAAGATCCCCAAACTACAGTCTACCATGTATTTGATTAATAAAAGCAATAAATCTCTACAATGATAGTATTTTGCTTTGGATTTCTCAGCAGGACTCGTTGGGAACAGCTGTTAGGTTTTGTATATTTTTAAATAAACTGAAGAATGAGTTCTTCAAAACAACAGAAGAAAAAAGACACTTCAAATTAAATCTTGTTTCCTTTTGTAAATAGGGAGACTCAAAACAACCACAAGGACAATTCGGTGGATATTTATGGAGCTAGCAGGAGCAGAGTATACTATATTAGATGATATGAGCTAGGGATGAACATATTAAAACACTCAATTTGTTTAGTATTTAGAAGGAACAAGATAGCCTGATGCACCATGTGAAATAGTTAAACACATAGCAATGAATTGTACCAATTCCAGCTATATAAGACCTGTCATGGAGAGAAGGATGGGTACATTGGATTAAAGTTCTAAGTATTAGATATTGTCCTAGTCCATTTGTGCTGCTGTAACAAAATACCACAGACTGGATGGCTTATAAACATGGAAATTTATTTCTCACAGTTCCAGAGGCTGAAAGTCCAAGATCAGGGTGCCAGCGTGGTCAGATTCTGGTGAGAGTCCACTTCCACGTTGCAGATTGCTGACTTCCTGCTGTGTCCTCACATGATGGAAGGGGCTAGGGAGTTCTGTGGGGTCTCTTTTATAAGGGCACTAATCACCTGCTGAAGGCCCCACCTCTTAAAACCATCGCATTGGACATTAGGTTTTCAACATATGAATTTTGCAGGGACACAGACATTGAGATCATAACAGATATAATCACCTCTGTCTGTATCAAACCTGTACAAATAAAAAGAGAATGGGAAGATGAAGAGAATTTTATTATCTAAAAAACTTGTAGGCAGAAGCAAGCAGTTATTTGCAGCATATGCAACTATAGACCATGGTAAATATAAATGTGTAAGATGGAAGTGTTTCTACTCTTGAGACCAGATTTTTTAAATGTTCTGTAGTCTCATTGGTATCCACTGTTCACATGGTGTCATTTAACACATATTTACTGAGTGCCTCATATTTACAATACACTTTAAGGAGGAAATTCATTCACAAGTTGCCACTTAGGTGAGAAAGTCTAGATTTTGGCTTCTTAAAGATATGCATTTCAAATCTGGGGAAAACCCAGCCTTGTATTTTTTTTTTTTTTTTTCCTTTTCCTTTCATAGTTAGTTATCAGTAACCAAACCCTGCCTGTTGACTTTGCTCTAGCTGACAGAAAACAGGAAACTACAGAGACTCCCCGTGAGAAGAGGGCCAGGCTGTACCCTCTGTGACCTCGCCCCTTCAGTCTGAGTTTTCCTTGGGGCAGCAGTTGCAAACAGCTCCATGCAGCTCTGGCAGTAAGCATAGGGAGTGCAAATGAAACCAGCTAATTGCAGCAAGGTCTGTTAGCCTGGCCTTTGAGCTCAGTGAGCCATCTTTTGAACCTTTTATGATAGTATACTTTTGGACATCCTTGGGGGAGAATAGTTTGCACTCTGATTCAATAATGGATCAGGGCCCATTCTCTGTTTTATATAGCAGTGGAAATGCCTTTGGTACTCTGGTATTAAATAACTGCTTATTTGGACATATTGTGCAGTGACTTAGCCTTTCCCACCCATTGTTAATTCCCTTTGAAGCTATTGTGCTCAGTTTAAAGCTCTCTGGTAGGTACTATGGAAGAAAATGGAAATCTCACAGTTTCTACTTTCTTTGTATCTACTCAGTGCTGATGCAGCTATCTCATATTTTGGTTTTGTGTCCCCCACTCTGCACCCTATTTCCCCTTTGATTTCAGGTGAAGGTCTCCCGCAGGTGTATTACTTTGGACCATGTGGGAAATACAATGCCATGGTGCTGGAGCTCCTCGGCCCTAGCTTGGAGGACTTGTTTGACCTCTGTGACCGAACTTTTACTTTAAAGACCGTGTTAATGATAGCCATCCAGTTGGTAAGTTGGCATTGCTATTCTGCAAGAGGATAGGTGGGTCCCCCAGCCACATCCTTGTGTCGCTTTTGGTGATTTACTAGCTGTAGTGACACCTAGTGAATGCATTCTCACAGGGTTGATGGCATTCTAAGAAGCTGGTTGGGGCAAAAAGAGTTAACCCAGAGAAGTCACACTGCATCTGCTGTTTGCTCTCTTTTAAGAATTTGCACCTTGGAGCAATACCCTTACCCTTAACTCAAGCGGAAGCATATAATTTAGATTAGGGAGATAGAGCATCATTAGGTGAAGTTGTACTAATGCAAGTAATTTCTTCAATGTTTTATTTATAAATTTTAAACACATGCCTGTAAAGTTTCGTCATGTTCTCCCTCTCCCCTCACAGTTGCATTCGAGAGAAGATTGGAGATGTAACTCACTGCCCTAACAATCAGATTCCAAAGTTTGTGTGACCAAGAACCTGCGTTAGTTCTCTGGCCTTCAGTTCGCACAGAGACTGACACAGCTGAAGAGGCAGCTCTCTCAGCTCCTACCAGATTATACCCAATACCAGTTAAAGGAGCAGTTAAGACAGTTCCTTTGAGAAGTTTGTCAGCCCTTCAGAGGAAGAATGCAAATGCATCTTTATTGGTCTGGAATGTTGATGGTCTCACCCACTTTACAGTAAAAACTTGGAAATGTTAGAAAATTGACGACTTTTGAGTCCAAAATTCATAATTTTTATTTATTTATTTATATTTTCCCCCAAAGCTCCAGGAGATAGTTGTATGTCATAGTTACCCATCCTTCTAGTTGCTGTATGTGGGATGCGGCCTCAGCATGGCCGGAGAAGCGGTGCGTCGGTGCGTGCCTGGGATCCGAACCCGGGCCGCCAGCAGCAGAGCGCACGCACTTAACCGCTAAGCCACGGGGCCAGCCCTTGAGTCCAAAATTCAAATGTCTGGGCCTCCCTTTCTATACTAACTAGAAAAACTTTATAGGTAAATGAACTTCGTGAAATTTGAATAATTTTATGGTTATTATTTTGAGCTATATTTATTTTCACATAAAAACTGCACTCCTACGCCTGCTGCTGAGTGATTAGCTCTGTGATTTCAGTCCAGTATTAATTTCTCTGAGCCTCACTTCCCTTATTTCTGCGAACAGGAGAGCTGTGTTGGGGACTCCTGTCTGACTGAGGATAGGAAGTTGTGGGCAGGAAGAGAATGTGGCAGTGCCACCTGTCTTCAGAAACCACCAACATATTCTGATATCCTGTCTGGGAATACTTCTTTCCTCTCAAATCCTTACTTTCAAATCCCCTAATTCTATTCCTCATTGCAAATTGTAACATTACAAGCTAAAACTGTATATTATCATTTTAGCTGAATTATACCATCCCACTTTCTTTTATCTTGATATTTATTATGTATATATTTGTATCAAAATATTTTCTGCTTTATAAGAGTAAAGTGACTTTTAAAAAAAATTTTTTTTTAATTTTTTTTTTCCCCCAAAGCCCCAGTAGATAGTTGTATGTTATAGCTGCACATCCTTCTAGTTGCTGTATGTGGGACGTGGCCTCAGCATGGCCGGAGAAGCGGCGTGTCGGTGCATGCCTGGGATCCGAACCCGGGCCGCCAGCAACGGAGTGTGCGCACTTAACCGCTAAGCCACGGGGCCGGCCCCCCCCGCTTTTTTTT